AGACATTACATTTCTGAAAAAAACCCTCTGTCCTCACCTCCTACTGTTCACCATGTATGTTTTGCACATTGCTGTTACAAAGTCTATTGGTAAAGACTCATTGGGCAGAAGAATGACTGCAAATGACTTTTAATTTGAGGAGTCGTTCTAAAAATTCAGAGTTAGTTATAAGGATGTTTCTAATTTTTTCCAAGCTAATGAAACAGAAGTTAACATTCCAGTCTTCAGGCATGAGCCTTTGAAAAGATCATACATTTTAGAATATTGTACCTAGGATCTTGTGGGTATAAAATTATCAGAAAAACAAGAACTTTTCAAACTGTCCAGTATTTCAGAGATTAAATGCTAACACTATAATACTTGTCTGGTTGCTGAAATAGATTATTATATCATAACATTTTTATATAGTCAGTAGTATACAAATACTTTATCAAAAGAATGAAGTAGGGTATGTTCAACATGCTCTGACCACGCTTTTAGGAAGTTTTATAGATAGATAGATAGATAGATAGATAGATAGATAGATAGATGGATGATTTTGTTGGACTATTTCAAGTGTAGGATTTTTTTATGGCTGTAAAGATTCTTTTGGAAATGGATTTATTATAGTATTTCACCAGCACCCACAAGAAGATATATATATGTGGAAGTTCTTAGATGAATAAAGAGAGATAAGAAGCCCAGGATGAGATATTCACATCAGGGATACAATTACCATAAAGAATGTTGTGTAAGCTTGCAACGTACTCTCCAACCTTGAAAAATAAGTGTAGGATTGTTGTTGGTATAAATCAAATTTAGAACAAATTAGAAGGACATTGGGATTCTGATCTATCTGCTCTCACAACTGCAGGAGTATCAAAGCACTTTTGCTGCTGTCTTGTGGGCCCACTCAAGCATATATACTTTTCAAAGTTGCTACCTTCTTTACATCAAATTTAGTATTTTTACACTGATCAAAAGGATGTTTCAGAATAAATAATACACCCTCAGCCTTTTTTTAAGCATTTCCTACTCATTAAATAATAAAATATTATTAGGAAGTATTTAGGAATTATATTGAAACTAGAAGACAAGACTAAGTTTATCATTCATAGAAAATACATATATATCAGTGCCAACATAGGTATCATGTATACCTTTCAAGATAGTTAATGAACACTGGATAAGCAAGTATGGAAACAATAAAAAATGCAGGACCTGAACCCATTTCTTGTTTAAAAAACACAAGAGAACTTTAAAGTTGCATAGTTACTCATGCATATGAGGCTTATATTTATTCATATGAGACAACCTGCACTTGCTTAGCCACAGATGGATATAAAGAAGATATTATTCATCTGAAATAATGATCCTTTTACTTATCATAGCTACTGTGTGATGTAAATGTCCCATTTAAATGAAATGATCTTCACACTGTCATAAAATATTTATTAAAAATTTTCAGGCAACTTGTAATTCAAACTCTTTCACAATATCTGCTATGGATTAAAAGGGCTTGGTTTTTTTTAACCAATTCTTAGCTAACTTTGCTTTTACATTCATTCAAATATCAGTCATCAATTTATGATGTTTTCATATCCTACTTTAAAGCCACATTTGGATACAGCGCTTTGTGGGTGGTATAAATTAGAGTTAGGAGTCCCTAATTTATAAATTTGTACAAATTTGTTGCAGTTTTATTTACATTTTCAGAGGGAAGTGTTCACAAAAATATCCAAATGACAGTTTGGATTTGTTCTGTTGAGTGTTAGTTTACGTGGAAAAGATAATGGATGAGGAAAAACCAAGGAACCAAGGAGAGTGTTTTCATCAAGCACTGTGAAATACTGATACCATTTTTGTATCAGTTTTCAAAATTAATTCACTCTGGAAAATTAATTTGGAGCTGAAGTTAGTATGAATGAAGAAGCCAGCGTATTCCAGCTGAGGCAGCTCTCCTGCTGGGCAGCCCAGATAGGGCAGGTTACAAGCAGGTCTAATTCCCAAGGCTCCAGCTGAGCTGTGTGGTTTCATGCCAGTGGTGATTGAATGTTCTTTTCCTCTGGGAAGCATTCCGCTGACTTCTGACTATCATCCAGAACTAATTTCTGCCCATCCTGCAGCCAAGTCTGTGGAATACCTGGTACAGCTGGTTTTGTACATCAGTCCTGATGTTTTGAGACTTCTTTGTCCTTCATCCTCATGGAATAAAGGGCTTGTTTGTAGCCAAAAACCAGTTGTTCTTCTCCCCTAGAGGAGGTGTCCACCTACACCTGCTCTGAAAATACTTGCTGCACTCTTATGCAGGACGGTTTAACAGAAAATGCAAATTCTTATTTTAAAGAACACAAAAGGGAAGATGGGTTGCAATTCCCACCACTTACACCCCAATTTCCTTATTTTACATTGTAATTCAGTGGTTAAAAAAGTCAGTGTACCTCATTTCCTTCTGAACCCTGTTTCTGGAAAAGGGTGTTAGATCCCTGTGCAAGAGGTGACAAGGACTGAAAAGGTCAAGGAACATCCTTTGATTAGGAGGGCCCTTTGACAAAGGGCTGTCATGGAAGAAGTTGAGGGACAGAATCTATGAAAAAGGAAACTTTTATTCACCATTGTCCTGGCCAGATGACTGTGAGGAGTTCTCATTTCATTACTCAGAGTACTTCCCTGAAAACCTGTCTCAAATTCTGTGCCTCTCCAGATTAAATTTATATATAATCATAGAATCATAGAGCCATTTAGATTGGCAAGATCTCTAAGATCAAGTCCAGCCATTAGCCTAGCACTGGCAAGGCCTCCACTAAACCATATCCCCAGGTACCACATCCACATGCCTTTTGAACACTTCCACTTTTGCACATTGCAGTAGAAAATTTGGTTTTTAACACAATATCGTGCTTTCAAATTATTTCAGTGCTCTCAGATTCTGTGGATTTGATGAGGATATAAATGATATATTGATTTGGGGCTGCCTCACGAGAGAGGAAGAATGTTTACTGTGAGTTCTGGTTTTCCTCTGTTTCAGTGGTAACAATAGATTTTGTGAGACAGGCAGAGCTCCAAAATGGAAACAAAAAGAGATTAGATACAGAGTAGTTTGGTGTGGGGTTTTTTGTTTGTTTTGGGTTTTGTTTGTTTGGGGTTTTTTTGTGGTGTGGTTTGTTTGTTTTTTTGTTTTGTTTTGCTTTGTTTTTTGTTTGTTTTGTTTTGTTTTGTTTTCTTATTTTTAAAGAATGTTTGGCAAGAAAAAGCAGCAGGTAATGAAAAAAATTAATCCATTTGTAGTACATGGCCACAGAAAGCTGGAAAAGTGTAGGCATAAACCATATGAACAGCATCTCTGCTAGCTGTCTCAGCTTCTAAGAGTAAAGTAGGCAGATTACATTAGACATCAATTTCTTCTTCATAAACCACTAGCAGTAATCAGATGGAGGTGCCTAAAAATCTGTCATGATTTAAAAAAAAACCACCAAAACACAGGTGTCCTGGAAATAAAAGTGTCCAGACATGCACAGTACTTAAAAGTAATGCATCTGACAACAGATAATACAGAAGACATGAGTGTCACTGCACGTAGATTTATTCCCCTATAATATGTATAGACTGAATGAGTTTTTTCTTACACAGTAACCCTCTCTGGGTAACTATGAATTTATAATGCTGCTTCTTAGCATTTATATTTGTCTACACTAAAGATGCAATAATTTATTAACATGGTAATAAATGTTTAATACTCCTTGTCTGTATCATTTCTTAAGCCCTGTTTCTCAAAAATATGAGGAGGACAAACAAAATAAAGCAGTGCTGCCCAAAAAAATGGGTGTATTTTTAAACAGGTCTTTTGAAATGTCTCACCACTTGTTCATAACCTTTGCTGTTGAAAGTAGCTGAGATGGTCAAAGCGTAAGGCCAAATCTCATGTTGGATTTGATGTGTTTTGACTAATAATTTTCTTTCAGATGGAGAACTTTTTTAAGTTAAAATCCATTTAGGAGGGATAGAGGAATTTTAATACTGGCATAAAAAAAAAAAAGAGAGAGAAATTGGCTTAAGAATCAAGCAATATTTTTAAAATTCTCTTTGACATCCCCCCCTATTTAGTTAGAATTCACCCACTTACATTTTGAAAGTGTTTTATTCACAGTTCTCTGTGTTTGATAGATATATTTTCTTTTCAAATGGTCTGAAATTCAAACTCCTAAGGAAAAACAACAAAGATAATGTAACCTCCCAGGTTGTTCTGATTACTGATTCAGTAACTTGGGAGGTTACATTACTGTGGTCACTGAGTACCCAAATTTCCTTTCATGGTTATTCAAGATCAATGAACTTCAAATGTCATGTTGTACAGGGTATGAACAAGGTGAACAAGATATGAAAGTTTCTGTCTTTCTACATAAATTGGAATTTCACCTTCAGCATATCACCTGTTTAAAATGATAGAATGCAGTTTTCCTGAAGTCTCGTGTAACTTTCCTAAAATTTCTGAGAGCAGGTAATATTCAGTCATAACAAATCTTTTCAGAAAAAAGTTTCTCTAGATGGTTAAACGAAGTCTCCATCTGATGCATCAAGGTTAATGAATTCCTAAATACACCAGAAATCAAATCAGGCACTGCATTCAGTGGCATTTTGTAGCACTATGAAAACTTCTGTAAATCAGCCTTGTAAATCATATTTTGTTTTTGTCATGGCAATTTTTATGCATAAGCAATATCAAATTATTGGTATTTAGCAAGTGCTGATAAGATTTAAAATTTTAATACAGAAATTCATATAATGAAGCTTAAAAATGAAGAAATTAAGACAAATAAAAAAGTTGGATTAATATTTTTCTCTCTTTATTAGTTCTTAGTCATCACTACAATGCCACTGCATTCTTGCAAAAGTAGATATAAAACAAACTTTGGACTAACTTTCTAAGATGATGCTTGGATGAGTGAATTATCTGTTTGTTCTATTCCCTCTATCTATTTAAATATCATTCTTTTTTCTTCCTTCTGTCTTTCTCTCTCCAGCAATGACAATGCAGTTCATAAGCCATCGGTTCCCTGACTATCATGATCCAACTATAGGTGAGTAGAGATTATCCTCTCCTTCATCCCTTTCAGCATCTCTGCCCTTTTAAGATTGTCAGACAATGAAAAGCTGCTCTTAAACAGCCAGTAGATAGAAACAAGATTTGCAAATTATGGATTACACCTTAATTTTTTGATGACAATTAAACTGTGACATGGCCTTATCATAGATGCTTCTTGAAATGCTCTGTGCAAAATCTTTCAACAACAGAGTTGTGGATTCATGTGCAGTAACTATTACGGTGTTACTCGTGTTATTATAATCACAGAATATGAAAAAAATACAGGAAGATAGAAAACAAACTTTCAAAATACTAAAATAATGTAAAAACTCCAGTCTGAAGTGCTTTGGGGTTTTAAATTTTGTTATTTTTAGTACTATTTTCCACTATTAAAATCTTAGTTGAACTTCTCTTGAACTAAGTGACTACTCAATTCAGTACACTAGAGTTGTGCTCTGGGCTTACATCCTCAGCTAAACTTCATTAACTTTACCTACACTATAAACTTTGGTAATAAAAATTATTCACACTAACCTACAATACACTGAAATATCCTTTAAATGCTGAACAGTTGTCAGAACTGCATGTTCATTCATTTTAGTGTCCTTATTAATTAGCTTTACTTATAATAAAAAGTACTTGCGTTTATGGGGATTATCCATGTGTAATATTTAGTTATAACAAGGAGAAAATGACAGAGTCTGGGCCAAATATGTGGGAAAGGCACTAAAAAACATCAACATTTACAAAATTGCTGAGGGAAAAAAAAAGAAATTAAAAATTTTCCAACCCAGTCATCCAAAATAATTTTTTGTTTTCTTTGAACTTTTCAAATGTTTCAAACTTGGATTTAAGCCCTACAATATTGCTGCATTGCTAAATAGATCAGCTAATGACATTATTTCTTTTAATTTGTTATTTCTATAGTATTCTATAGAAGATTGTGGTAATTATAATTATGAACAAAAAGCAAAAACTCTTTGTGCCACTAGTAATTTTAAAACTGTTCAAAATATTGTAAAATAACAGTCTGATGCATCAACTCTAAAGAAGGCAAAACTACTACAGAATTGCCGCAAATTCATTTGCTTCACTCAGGAAAAAATAATAATAATCATTAAATCTAATTAGAAAAGATGAACATTATTAGTTACTGACACCATTAAGTTATGTACTTACACTCATCTTTATTATATTACCCATCCACCTGCCATCAGTATTTATCCATATATTGTATCTTGTCATAATCTTAATTTATTGGTCTCTAGGCACAACCACAGTATGAATAATAGATAATCATAAAGAGAGGGAAAGCTTGTGATGCATTGTAAGTACATACTGCAGGAATGCCTTGAGGACCTAATCAGGATGAAGGTCTCCTTGAGCAAGAGAGAGCTGCTACTCGGAAAAACCAACACTCAAAGCAGGAGAAGAGAGGGAAACGGAGAACAGGGAAATGAAATACTGAATTCAACCTCACCCAGCTGGCTAGAGGCAGAACTGGAAGTACAAGGTTTTAGCAGTTTGGCACTTCTGTCTCTCAGAACATGCTGAGGACGTCCTGAGAGAGCCTTATTAATTTTCATGCTCTAAACCCTGTACTAAACAGAAGAGTATAATCGTGGGCCAAGTATGTGGGTGTCATTTGTTATCACACCTGTAATAAAAAACTAATAGATTTTTAAAAAGTCAGTATACTGAAAAAGTTTATACTGTTGAGATTTTTTTTTTTACTATTTTTGAACCCCTGGTCTCAACACACAGAATTAATCTAATGGAGTTTTGTACATCCAGTGATAGGCATATTTTAACTATTTAGACCATCATGCTAAAAAAAAAAAAAAAAAAGATGTCCCAAAATGAGCACAGGCAGGGAGAAGACTATGCTGGTGTCAGGAGTTACCAGAGAAAACATTACTCCTCAAAGGTCATGAGGAGCTAGGCACAAACAGATTCTTTGGGTCATGGGGAAGTTATCATCTTAGAGTAGATTTGTCTAGTCAGAATTTTGTTTCTCACAGTAAACCCAGCAGTAGATGGTGCAGAAAGAAAGAAAAAAAAAACCATTCTACATGTCAAATGTACATTCATACTGGCTGAGTGGCGAAGCAGAAAATTAAGCATAGCTTTTCAGCTCAGTCTGAGGTCACTGATCTCTCTGGATATCAATTTATTGCCTTTCCTTTGTGCCATACAGTTTGGGCCACTTTCATTCCTCAGCAATTTGTGTCTTGTTTATGGAACTCGTGGACTGTCCTGAACATCACTGGGCACACTGGTGTCACGTTTTTGTGTATTGCTTTGGAAATAAGTACTTCTGCCTTCCTGTAGTTTCATTTGCCTTTGGGCATCTTAAAGGAACAAGATTTCTGTAGAAGTCACTGAAAGGATGATATGATCTGGAAATAACAACAAAAAAAAAGTTCTATGGTGTATTTAAATGATAATCCACAGATTTCCATTGTTAGCCAATATGCTGAGTCTACTGTTCTCCAGCTGAGCTTTAAGGTTTCTTGTTTCTTTTGCTTTATGTAGATATAATAATCCAATAAATACCAGGGTTTTTTTTTCCCCTGATATTCTTGCCCTACCTGTTCTGCTCTCTATGTTTTTTATGGTATGAAATTGTGGTGGCAGTGACTATGGTACTTAACTGTGCCAATTTACCCAAGATTTAAGAAGGTAGTGTTGACAGAATTGATACCTTTCATGGAGCTTTTTATAAGAGCTGTCCTAATACAAATGAATGGACTGAGACTTATGAAATGGAGGGGTCTTTGCAAATAGCATCATTGTCTTTGCAGTCTCAGAAGACCATCATTTTCAGTTTTAGGGACAAGATGACAATGACCCAGGAGCTACCAAAATATTCATAATTGCTTCATCCTATTTAACTTTTCATTGCCCATTTTAAGTATAGACAGGGGAGTGGAATAATAATTTAGGCTGTTTTTCATTTCTGTAGATTTCTGTGAAATAGTTTTATATCTATGTAAATATAGGGGACAATAAACCACTTCCAAAGCACGTGACCATAGTGCTGATATAATCTGCTTGAAATTCCAGTTGAATAGCAGAACCAAAAAAACATTCAGTCCATACACAAGAGCCACAAAACCATTTTGTATGAACTTAAAAGCCTGAAACAAGGAATCTACAAAAATTTTTGCCTTGATTTGAGAAACAAATGGATGTCAATTGGGTTTCATATTTTATTTCATAAAAGCTTGAATCCTTTCAATCCTAAAAATTGTTCTGAGTTTTGATTTGTTTTGTATAGTAAACACATTTTTTGTCCTGACCTACACCTTGCTTTACAGAAGCATGCCCACAGACAGTTGGCTTCTTAAGGTTTTTAGACAGTTTCGCTCTTTCTCCTTATTTTATTTGCATTTTACTCTTCACCTATAAACTGATAAGACAGTGAGCTTTACAAAGGGATTAGAATAATTGGGTTGGTTGGTTGGGATTTCTTTTTGCTGTCTAATCAAGCTTGAGGCTCTGGTGAAAATTGTTTACTGTTACTGACCAGAGAATGCAGAGGAGTCCTTTCACTTTAATATGCTACCAAATGTGCTTCCCTTCCCAGTTCTGCTTCCCTCCAAACACACCACTAGGGATTTATCCTAAACATTCTGCAGTAATAATCATATGGCTTTACAGATGCAGAGAATTTTTTTTTACCTTTTTTGTGGTAGTCCTCAGGAACATGGATTTTCCTTATCATTCTTCTCCATTGTGTTTCAACCATTACGTTATTAAAGCTTTAGAGTTTTCTTTTTCTACAGTGACTCATATCTCTAAGCAATATAGTAGTAATATACAACAAGAGTATAATGGTGCTTTGTACCTATAACCTCTTTTTTTCTCTGTTATCCACTGATATTTTTGAAATATTACAGAGGATCTTGATCACAAAAAGCTGCTGTTACTGTGAGCTGATGCTCACAGTTTTTGTTAAAAGAATATTTCAGTTTCTGCATTATGAGATACACATGCCCACAGGTTTTTATGTCATACATACGTATACCTCAAATGTGCTAACTTTGATCCTAAAAGAGCTATATAAATAGATTTAGAATTATTTACACATTTTCTTTCTGTACTTACGATTTATAAAATGAGTACTTACGCTTTTGAAGAACTTAGTGGATGTAGTGATGTCACAAAAGTACAAGACTATTTGAAGATTGCTATGGATTTATTAGAAGGAAGAAGTCTGGTTTTGTTCAGTTAGGTGTTTTTTGTTTGCTTGTTTATTTTTGCTTTGGTTTGGTTTTGTAAGTAAATAGAGTATTTTTGTTCTAATAAGTGTTTATTCAGAGAAATCCTCTGTACACTGTGGATCAAGATATCAAGATACATTATTACAGTAAATGTTCCCTTTTGATGTATGAAACTTTCTTTTATTTTAGCTGATAAGGTCTTTAGAAACTCAAACTGCTGACATTATATATAGAGAGAGGTAAATGTGTATGCACATAAATAGACAAATAAATGTATCAATATTCATTTAAAATACAGACTAAACACTGATTAAAAAGTTAAATGCTCCCTGAAGTGCTAATTTTAATGCTGTCACTTTGAGTTTAACACCACTTCAAGATAAAGTGGGAATAATGGCCATATTTTAGGCTTGCTACAGACATTGCAGTTCAAAATTTTGAGACAAAATATAATTTTTTAGCAGGTAAATGGGGGGAGGAAGGACAAAATTAGTACTAGACTGTATGTGGAAAAATTTTGGAGGTTAGTGCTTCATGAAAATGAAATTATTTCAGTACATATTTAATATTTAATTGTAGTCAACAATGGGAACAGATTCCAAGTGGCAGTGGATATGATAATTTTCTGGAACAAGCGGCTAAGAGCAATTTGCACTCTGCACAGTCTTTGGCAATAGCACAGAGAGTTAATGCAAGTAGAGTGTCAGGAAAGGAAGCATGACATAGTGCAGCAAACTGGACAGGCTCCAAGATGCTCATTAACCATGTG